TGAGAGATTGCCACTCCAGAGTGGGACTACACAGTCATGAGAGCTGATGTAACTTCATTGCCTAGAATTTTAGAGAAAAAAAAAAAAGTGCTACTCCATTGTCGCCCAAGATGGACTGATGCCTATATATATATATATATATATATATATATATATACACACACACACACACACACACACACACACACACACACACACAGTGTATTTCAGCAGCAATAATTCTTTCAAACATTCTCTATCAATTGTTATTGGTAAATTTACCAAAGTTCATATTTAATTTTATTAAGGATTTTTCATGTATATTTACAAAACTGTTTTTATTTAATTGTGGCATTCTTACATTTGATAGAACCAATTTCAAGTCATTGAAGATGATGTCATTTAAACAGTCTTTCTTATTTGCTCTTTTACTTTTTCTCCTATTTCAATACAAAGAACTTGTTTGATACTCATGTATATAGCACAAGAAAAAATAAATGCATTCACAAATTTAAAAAAAATATTTGGTGACACTTTGACCTATTGGGTCACTCTTCCAAAAGGGATATTATGATTACAAAAAAGATTATCCTTGAATTTGCTCCCTTGCAGATTATGCTACGTTCTGCATAACATGTGCAAAAAAAGGTAGCTATTTCTTTGGCACCTAGATTTTTTTATTCATATAAAAGTAAATAAAAGATAGTCTACAATAATTAGAATTTAACAGTCATCTGACTTGGGAATTAATTTTCCTTTTACCTTTCAATGAGAACACAGTCCCTACAGCAATATCATTCAGTTACAAGCCACCTGGAATATTTTTACCTTCTTTTAGGTTAGCTTATTTTAAGGGTAGTTAATTTAGTACCTCTGTCTACATTGCACCATTTCATTATCTTTTTATTTTTTTTAATCAATTCATCCCAAGCAAGGTGAGAATGCCACTAAGATTCAATGGGCTACTATGAGTGAAAGAGAATGAGAAGGAACTGGAAGCAAGGGATAAATCTCTACTACTGTTCAAAACACAGGGGAGGAGTGTCAACTTACTTGGAGGTTATATATAGACACCCAAAAGCAGACTTTGTAGCATGTAATGTTTAATACAAATACATTACTTTTTATTTCTTATGATAATTTCTTACTATTTTCTGTGTATAAATGTTGTTCTTTATATTGACACAATTCTATGGCAAACATTTGTGAATATTAAAATTCTGATACCTTACAGAAAAATTTACAAAATAAAAAATGGATATTTTTTTAGTAAAAAATAGATATGTGAGTGAGTGAGGGAGAGAGAGAGAGAGAGAGAATAACTCTCAATGCATCTTAATGAATCCTTTTCTCTCTGGATCATTCTTTTATCTGCTGTGTCCCTTCAGGACGTAGGTGATCATGGCCCTCCACATCTTCCAGTCCCTTGTAGCTTTTGATAAATTTTGTCTTTTTATTATTTCTCCGAAACCCTGTTCTGGCGTACATTTACTCAAGCTCATCAAGTATGTTATTCTCTGCTTTCCTCTGTCCCTCTTTTTCAATCTGTCCTGTAAATATCAGGTTTTCCAAGCCCTTCTACCTCCTTACATACCCCAGAAAACTGAACTGCCTCTTCCTGATGTTAAGTATAAGTTCCCTTTTCATTTCTATTCTCTCCAAAACCCTGTTGATGCTCACATGTTTGGCCCATTGTATTCTCAGCATCTTTCTTTAGAACCACATTTTTGTTGCTTCAAATCTCTTCTTCATCTTTGAAGAGATTACCCAGCATTCTCTGCCATACAAGAGGACAGATATAAAACAGTTCTGTACTCTTTTCTTTGTTTCTAATGAAATATTTCCCTCTCTTAATACTCTGGCTAGCTTTTGGAATGCATCTTTGGCCAACCCAATACATTTTTGGATCTCAGTGTCACATTTTCCATCTTCTGTTAGAACACTTCCCAAATATTTAAACTTCTGCACTTGTTTGATTTTAGTATCTCCAGTTTGTAATTTGCATTTTGTTATTTGCTGATAACCATGCTTTCTGTCTTCTTTTAGTCTATAATTAGTCTTTTCTTCTTGCTTTCCTTCCATAGCAGCTTTTGTAGTTTCATTTCCATATCTGCTATCAACACTGTCATTTGCATATCTTATATTGTTAGAATATGGCCACCAATAATGAATCCTGGTAGGACTTAATTCTCTTAGAATGTCCTCACTGTATAGGTTGAACAAATCCAGTGAGAAGATGCATCCTTGTCTTACACCCCTTTCTATTTTTGTATATCTGCTGAACTTATTTTCTGAATGTATGCAGATGTTTGCAGCCAGTATAAATTTTTGATTGTTCTAATGTCTTTCCCGAATATGTCACGATTGCTAAGTAGCTCTAACCAATTTTTGTGGCGTACTTTATCAAACACCTTTGCATAATCTATAAAACATAGTTACATGTCCTTCTGCTTTTGTATTGCTCTTTCTGATAACATTCTGAACATAAATATCACATTCCTTGTTCTGGTGTCTTTGACAAAACCGCACTGTTTTTGTCCTATCTCCAGTCTGATTCTGCTGCATGCTCTGTTTATCAAAATTCAGATGATGAGTTTTATTATGTGGCTCAATGGGCTGATTATCTAAATCCAACATTTTTATCGCTTCCGATGTTATTTTTAGAGAATATTTGTATCTAAAGTAGATAACCTGTTTGTTTTTATTTTAAATAGTGGGTATTAAAATGTCTATTGGCCTGCCTGTATACACAAGAAAAATGTGCTCTCTGTTTGGGTTTGAACCTGCATCCCCATTTGTAAGAGAAAGCACAGTCTGATCCAGTGTGCTTTAGACCATAGAGAATGTCACAGCCCAACAAGTTTATATTTACCCTTTTAAATAAAGAATGGATAAACATAATTCACATTGTTTAAAACAAAAAAATGAGGCATATATTTCAAATATTGATATCCATAAAGAAAATCATTTGAAGTAATAATATAAGATAAATATTTAGTGGGTACAATGTTTGAGCAGACATTCCAGTTTTGTTCTTTTGAAACAGTAAAATTAATGTCTACCTGTCTAGAGATCAAGAAATCCTTAGAAAGAAAATGTATCTCCCAATAGGAAACAAAGTTGTATTCACTTTTTCACTAATTGTTAAAACACATTTAAGTTAAATATAGTTTCCCCAATTGAAAAAGTGAATACAAGTTTCATTCCTGTTCAAAGGCACATTTTCTTTAGAAGAACTTCTCAAAATCTCCTCGCTGGTTGACATTAATTTCATTGTTTACAAAAAAAAGAAAAATAAATAAACAGGTGTACCAACTAAATATAAAATTTATAGTAATAAGAAATATTGTCATATTAAAAAAATTCATTAATTGCATATATATAGATAGATAGATATAGATATATGCACACACAAACTTGCATATTCCACTTTTGTAGTAGTTGCAGGTATGAACTGAATCAATATTATATGGCTTTTTAGAATAATGATTTTCAATTTGATAGAGCTATAAATAAATTGCTCTTTATAGAATTGTAGCATAGAGATATCATGTGACAAAGGTACTCATCAAGATAATGGTATATCTTTAGAATTTCATAAAGTAATTAACTTGTGTTTGTGTATGTATGTGTGTATATATATATATATATATATATATATATATATATATACACACACAACATGAAAACTTTCACTGGTGCTTATATATAAGGTATCCAAATATGGAACTTTAGATTTTTGCATTTGTGTATATTTTATATATATATATTACACACACACACTGAAGAGATTTCAGTCTCATTAAATATTCCACATATACATATTTGATTCCATACTTCAATATACTTACCACAAAATATATATATATATATATATTACACACACACACACAAATATATAAGAGAGAGAGAGAGAGAGAGAGAAGAAGAACTAGACATACATATATATATATCTAGTGTATCTGTACTTATATAGTTGTAGTTCGATGGTGTGCTAAAAAGTTCTCAGCCTGACTCACTCCCCCAAATCTAATCAAATGACCTTTTTTTTTTTTTGTAAGGGCTTCTTTATAGCACCTCTCTCTCTCTCTCTATATATATATATATATATATATATATATATGTTTTGAAATTACCTAGATTATATGGCCAAAAGACATATTAAAAAAAATATTATTTTAAATTTAAAATTCCCAGCATCTCTAGTTCATGCACATATGTAGCCACATCAATATAAGCATAAACTTAGACCAATGAAGTCCTAAAGGACAAAATGTCTCACACAAAAACTTTTTACACTTTATCATACTTCTTTCCCTTAAACTATATTAGATATAAAATATTCATATATTTATTTTACTTTCTATTTTAATTTTTTATAATTTTTAATATATATTTGATTGTAACAATTTACATTAATGACATATCCCGGATCATTTCTGATATAAAGAATTTAAAAACTAAAATTCAGTATCAAAAACTGAAAAAAAATTTTCCTTTCAATAATTGTATTATGACAATTCAATAAAAAAATATATTTTTGTCATCTAATATATATATATACACACACATATATATATATATGGTATAAAAATGACAATTGGAAAAAATCTTCTGGTTTTATCAAGGCAAACAATTAGGCCGAAATGTTTTGTTGTCATAGTTACATCAAATCCAAAATTTCCCAAAAAGACACTCCTTTTATATCAATTTGTCTTGTCTTCAGAATTATTCGTGGAAAATATATATATATATATATATATATATATATATATATATATATATATGAGTGAACACTGAGGTCAACAACACACTTGAAGATTGCATTCAAGCATGAAACAAACTGTTACCACTCGGTGTTGGCATCAGTGTCCACTCTGATATTTACACATGCTTTATCCCAGATATTGAATACTTTTGTACATAAATATAGCATACCTTAGAACTGTATTTTATCATATATATTAAAAAAATATTTTAAAATTGTATTTAATAAAGAAAATGTTTCAAATTGTTCTCACCTGATAATTGTTCGTAACAAAGCAGAACGAGCTTCATTATGAAATGTAATAATCACAGAAGTTGCTGGAAGTCTTTGGTTGTTCCAATCTTTTAAACAACTGAAAAAAAAAAAATTAAAAAAAGAAATCATTTTTGCATATTTTTCATAAGAATGTCCTCAATAAAACTGAAATGTGCATTTAAACATTACATTACAACTTCAATGGCATTTGACAAATTAATTAAAAAATATTTTATAATTTATTTGACAAATAAATCCTCAAATTGTATAATAAAACTGTAACACTAAGAATGATTTCAAAATTTTTGACAAAAGACATTAATGCAAGTGTCGGTTTCAAATGAAATGCCTAAGCCATTTTCTAAAACCCCTTTTTTTAGTCAGGTCAAGAATGCTTCAGAACCCCTTGTAAAACATTTTAAAATATGTTACTATGGTTATTCCTTTTATACCTAAACTTTACAATATGAAAAAAATGACGATTAAATCCATCAAAGCCGAGCTTTTCTTTTTAATAATGTTCACCTAATATGAGGCCAAAGAGCAACTCAAGGTAGAGGGCTACTGAATGAGATTTTTGTTTGAATGTAAGAAGAGGCAGTAAGAAGTGCAGTTAATAAGGTTATGTAGGAAAGATAATGGTCAAACCTAAACAAAGAGGTTAAGATTGTAGTGATCAAGAAAACACCCTCTCTGAAGTCTGTTCCACAAAGTAGCAGTTCTTAGGAAGAAGCTGTCCAAGTGGAACTTCTTTACAAATGGAATACAAAGGGAATGAGGATGATTTGTCCCAGTAAATTAACCTCTATTTTTGAAATGAACCTCATTTTTTTGTCTGACCAAAAATGGAATATTGCTGCCATATCTGGACTGAAGCACTCTTTCTGGCCTTGATAGAGTTCAAAAACATCTTCACAGCCTTGTGGGTGAGGAATTATACTCAACTCTACAACTCTTTTCCTCACATACAAAATGTTAGAAGCCTCTCATTATGCTATCATTGTTTCCATGGAAAACTTTCTTTAGTTCAGACAATTTTTTTTAATCATGTTACCTTACACAAGGCAATAACACCAATAAGATGAAAGGGGTTGCTGTGTGTAAAAGAATAGGTTACAGCTAATAACTGCCACAGCACACATAAATCATGCTCATTTCATTTGTATGCCATTAATAAGAAGGAACTTCCACTCGGACAGCTTCTTCCCAAGAGCCACTTCATTGTGGAACAGACTCCTGAGAAAGTTATTCCCTAGTTACTGCAAACATAACCTCTTCAAGTCTAGGATCAATCATTATCTATCCTACATATCTTCATAATCTGCATTTCGTACCTCCTCCTCATGCATCAATAAAACAACAACATTCAGTAACCCTCTACCTTGAGTAGCTCTTAGGCCTTGAATTAAATAAACAATGGTGTAAAAGAAAGGAAAAAATGTAAAATCAGAAGAAAAAAAAGATCAAATCAAAATTATTAAGAGGTCAATGTAAATTTCATTATTCTGTCTCGTATTTGAAAAAATTAATAAATTAAATGCTATGGACGCTGTTATCCCTAGACAAAAAAAAAATAGAGACTGCAGAAACATGGTTCTAAAAAAGAATATTGCAAATTCCATAGACAAAGGAAATAAGCAACAAGGAAGTATTAAAGAAAATGGCAACACAAAAAACACTTATATTCAAAATTAGGAAGTGAAAGCTGAAATTCCTTGGACACATAATGAGGAAGGGGACTTGTAAAACTTAACACTCATAGGGCATATTGAATGGTGTGAATGGATGGTGGAATGGGCTTTAGCAAAGGGAGAAAACTAATGGTAATGGTAATATTAACCATTTCCATATAAAGAAACATTTGGCATTCATTGACTGAGCAGCCAGTACTGCTTTTGGTTGAAATTCATAAAATCTTTTTTATAAAACAATTTGTCAGGAAATAAGATTTTTTTTTTATCTTTTTTTTTTTTTAAGTCCAGTAGCTGTTATTGCTCTTTCCAGTATTGATGGGGGGTTCCTTCTGAATCCTTTATCTGAAGTAATATGGAATGTTAACATCTTGATTATATCATTATTTTCTCTTCAAGAACCACATGAGATAGAAAGTTGTGGAAAGCTATGACTGTCTATGTCCTGAAGTGACACAGCATATAGAAGAATGAATTTTTAAAAAAATGGTCAAATGCCAACAAGTAAATTATTGACTTAGAATATACGACAAATGACCCACAAATTATTGACAACACGACTGTGTTTATAACCATCATGACTGCTTCTGGGAAAGAGTTTAAAAATAGAGAATTTGGAGTCTATTATAACTGCAAATATAAAAAGTTATGGAAAATGAAAGACTACACCATTTATTGTTGTGTAAAAATAAACATCTTTCATGAATCAAATGTTTTTTAATATTATACAAAAAAAAATATGAGTATAAAGGAGATCCTAGGTTAAACCAATATTCCTGCACTTCTCCAACCAGAGATAAACTTCAGAATTAATTGAAATAGTCAATACATTGATTTGATAGACAAAATTTGATATAAATAATCTATTAAATTTGAAATGTTTTTGCTATCATGTGGCTAATCAAAAGTGTTTCTACAGAGGACAAGATGTTTTGTTATTCTTTCTCTAAATACTGATACAAGTCATGATTCAATAATTCAATAAAAAAAAAATCATGTCCAAATAAAGGGTAGGAAGTGTTATCAAATTTTCATCAGACATATCTGACTAAAGAAATGTTTAATTACCTGTAACCATAGAGAAACTGACATGATAATAAAATAAAGAAAGAGAGGACCAATAAGAAAGAGTAACAAGAGGGTGATGAAAAGTTCTCAGCCTGACAAAGAAGAGCTAAATAAACAAAAAAAAAACTGTTTGATCAGCTTTGGAAAGTGAGTTAGAAAACTTTTCAGCACCCACTGATATTCACTAAATTTTGATCTGAAATTTCCACTGTATAGTTTTTTGCTTTTGTGAGATTATATATATATATATATATATATATATAATATATATATATATATATATATGGACTCTCCCATGAATTCGACAGATGAGGTTCGATGACCACAAACTAATCATCTGCATGCCTATGACAGACATAACTTTTGAGACCGGCTTGAGAATTGCACAAAAGACCACAAACAGTACAAGAGAAGGTATTGTATCCAAGTGCAGCAGAAGACTGTTAAATGTCTTATTTTGCTTTCTCGTTTTATGTAGTCGTGTGATGCTTACTTCTCAGTGCAACCATCAGTCAATATATATATATATATATATATATATATATATATATATTGGGTTAAATGTATTGATAAGAAAGATTATAATGAAAATTAAATATTTATTGTGCAAAATAAATGCATTTTGTCATGATTTTTCCTTTTAGCTCTTTACCGATTTTTTTTTTAATCATTTAACAACAAACAAGACAATAAAGCCACTATGATGCAATGAATTACTAACAGTAAAAGAATCTAGGAAAAATCATTAAGGAGTGAGAATAAAAGAACAGGCTTCAAGAAGATGACAACAGACATCAACAGCATTTAAATTTTTGAAAATCAAAGTTGACTGGAAAGAAAGAAGCTCAAAGATAGTTTCACAAAAGTGCAAGAAGCTATTAATATAGAACTTATGGGCACATGTAGCCATTTCAACTGTAAAATGATGAAACCTTGCTGCTAATCTAGTAATGCACTTAAATTTGTAAAGTTGAAGTACTAAAGAGGAAATTTCATCAGAACAAATACCATGAAAATATTTATAGAAAAGGGACACGGAACCTATGTTACAGTGGTGGGAAAGTGACTAAAGCCAAGATGTCAGGTCATGGCTGATAACATTGCAGATTTTTCTTTGTATCTCTAAACATATAGCAGAAGCACCAGACCAGTTGTGACAGCAATATTCAATACATGGATGAATGGTAGACTTCTGAAAATATAAGATAGATTCTGATAAGAAAAATTGTCTAGCAGGAGACAGTGAACCAACTTTCCTAGCAGCAAACTTAGCAATTGATTCAATATAATTGTTCCATTTCATATCAGTGGAAAACACAAACCCAAGAGGGCTAAATGAGTCATTCTTCTGAAGGTTAGCATCGGTCATGCTGATGAAAGGCAAAATGGTTTCTCTCATACAATTAAATGAGAGCAGTTTTGTTTTAGGTTTTAAAATTAACAAGCCATTTCTTGTCCCAGTTAATAACAGATTGAAGGTCATTTCTAAACCCTTGATTTCTTTTTACAAAAATTTGATTTGTCAATTCTTCCAACTTATTCAAGGGAATACATTCTACAGAAAGTTTCACTCGGTTGTATTATTACCTTGTCTTGTTCTTTTCAGTACGGCTCCCTTTCCACAAAGTCTGAGTCTGTACTATCCATTCCAGGGATTGAACTACTAAATGTTTTGTTGATAACAACAAAGATAAGGACATTAGTCTGAATGTAAATGATGTAAATAATGAAGAATCTATTCTCCAAAAACTTTGGTAAGAACAATTATTCTGACTAGTAAGTATCCTCATTTTTGTTCACATGATAATTATTATATAAGCAAATTCCTTTGAACAAAGAAATTTCCAATTTTACATTCAGGTAAAACTTTTGGAGATGGAAAAGTAATGATATAATTGTTGTATCCTTAAAGAGGTTACGAACAGACAAAGGTGGCACTTGAGTGAATGAACAGCAACACGTGCGTAGATGAAAGAAAGAGAGGTTTATTATAAAAGAGAATATGCTACTGAAAGACAGGGAATCAGGTAACAGGCAATTAATTCCCGAAACAAGTCCCAGGTATATCATGTGCTCACTATATATATCTACTGATATAGTCAGTCCACATAGGTGATAGGGAGAATGGGACATTCCATTACAATAATGTAGGTAACTACTAATTATTTATTTTTCTTCTCCTCAATAGTAGATAGGTTTGCTTATTGTTCAGTTTCACACTCCTCCTGGTCTCTTGAACAGGAGTAAAGGCTTATTCCTTGTTTTCTATTTTGGATTGGGTTTCCAATTCCCTCTAAATTCTAATTCAACTATACTTGTAATGTTTCTGCCTGAACTCTGAACTTTTGTTTTACTAATTATTTATTTATTTTCCTTTTTCTCAATAGGAGTAGATAGGTTCAACTATTGTCTGATTCACACCTATTCTATAGTTAATAGACTCTCCCACCTAATATAAGTAGGAGTAGTAAGAGAATCAAGGGTCAGTCGATGTCGAACGACAATAGTCGACAGTTAGTCGAATACGAAAGTAGTCAGCAACCACAATAAGATTACTCTGCATAATACCTATTATATCAAGTTCCTAATGTTTTGTACGTCGAACTATTTAGGACCGATTTAGTACAAATACAAGCTTCCACTGCAAAATAACTCCACAACATTCACACACCTCCTAAGTCTTTTGCAAAGGAGTATTTAAATTGCTCTAGGTTTTAGAGGTTTATCCATTGTTTCCTGTTTATGATTGGGTTCCCAGTTCCTTCTAAAGTCTGTTTCAATTCTATATTTTAACGTCGCTGCCTAAAACTCTGAACATATATTTACTATTTCTTTACTTCTTTTTCCTCTTTAAGAGTAAATAACTTCACCTATTGTCTGGTTCACACTTATCCCCAGTTTTTTAAACAGGATTAGAGAATTATCCCTTGTTTCCTGTTTAGGTTTCCAGTTCCTTCTAGTCTACTTCAACTCTATAATTCTAACATTTCCACCTGAACTCTGAAATTTTATTTACTTTTTTTTTTTTTTTTAATAGGCTTATGGCCACATCATGTTGAAATGACAGTTCCTGTACAATCACCCAAGTTAAGCGTTGACCCAGGTCAGTACCTATGTAGGTGACCTCTTGGAAATAACAGGTGCTTAAGCTTGAATGTGCGGGTGGTGTAATGGATAATGGCTTGGAATTATTAATCTTGGGAAAGATATGAATCCACCCCTTCTCCCACCAGCTATGTAAAAAATATAGTAAAATTTGTATCACTAAATTATTATCAAAAAAAATATTCTTACAATCTAAAAATATTTTCTTGCTTTAAATGACCAGCAAAGGGTTGATAAGCTGTAGAAAATGAATCAATCAATCAATAAGATCTCTGCCTGAACTCTGAAATTTTATTTACTAATTATTTATTTTTCTTCTGAATAGAAGGAGATAGTTTCACCTATTATCTGGTTCACACTTCTACCTGGTCTTTTGAACAGGAGTAGAGGTTTATCACTCATTCCCTGTTTAAGATTGGGTTTCCAGTCCTTCTAAAGTCTTTTCATTCTCTTTCACTCTCAGTAACCACTTGTCCCTTACTGGCATTCTTGCCTTGCTAGGGGTGAATTGATCAAAAAACAATTATTGCTGTATATCCTTCAGAAGATATATTTTTCACACACACGCATTATATATATATATATATATATATATATATATATACACACACACAAATAAAGAGAAATAACAGTCAGGTTAATAATCCACAGTTCTTTAGCATTTACTTTTTAAAAAGTGCTCGATACAACTTAGAGCATAATATTTTAATAATATTTTTATTTAAAAATATTTTACATTGTGACATTGGTATTTTTGGTATTTAAAAGAAATTAATAAAACTACTAAAGTAAAATGGAAAATATTTTTAAAAAATGAGAATTTGTAAGTTATTAAAGGACCCATGTCCACTATGTGTACATGTAAACCTGTATATTAAGTTTCCTAAAAATAATGATCTATTAAATCAGCAGAATGAACTAACTTTAATATGTAGGCATTGCATAATGTTTACTTTAAAATACAGTTAATATAATTGTTCCTTAAAAAAAAATCTATGTATTACAATTATATATCAATTATTTTATTATATATAATATTTTTATACATATAATATTTATTTAATTCCTTGATTTTTAATTTTAATATTGCCAATTAAGTATAAAAAGTATTGTATTTTAAGATCAAAATAATATAGTATATAATATATATAAAATGATTTAATCATACTAGAGGCCCTTTAAGATAGTTCTAAAGTATATACAAAAAATACCCCCAAAAAAAAAATAAAACAAAATCCTAAAATTAACCTATTGTTTTTATATATATATATATATATATATATATATATATATATATATATATATATATATATATATATATATATATTTAAAGATTTTTTTGTAGGTACAAAATTTAATGATCGAAATAAAAGTATAAAACTCAATATTACTAGACATATTACAAA